TTGAATATCTTGTGAATATTCGCAAATATCACCTGAATACCTATTAGATATTAACCAGCGGGTGCACCGTGAATAGTCGAAGTTGATGCCCCCTCGGTTGTCTATCTCGTTGCGAAGGTTCATCGAACCGACAACAAAATGCCTATCATTAGTTTCTTGTTTTAGATTATAAATTGCATGTAGAGATTAACATTTTCCGGAAAAGTTAAAGTTTCCGGGACAAACCGTTTTTTCCGAAAAAACTTTCCTTGAAAATTTTTGGGGAAAAAACAACAAATCGGGAGCTTTAAAAAAAATCGTTTTTTCCGCAACTTTTCCTGGGCTTTTTTCCGGCCTTCAAATTCCTAATTGCATGATTTTCTTTTTGCAGAGTTGGCTTTCCCGTGGTGCTCGTGAGCGTGTCCACCATCACGGTGTACCTCATGATCGCGCACGTCGCGCTGGGTTGGAATGGCGCGGCCAGCGTACAGGAGGCGCACGCCCCCGCCGGCTGAACTGCTCTGAGAGGACTGACCCACCCTCGGCTGTTCACTCGCCTGCGGGTCCTATGGACGCCTCCGGAAGAGTATTTTGCAGGGTACTCTTCTTTGGAAGGTCTTGAGCCAAGGTGCTTGTCTTCTTTTACTCGTGAGATTTTTTTTTACATGAGAATTTCAATGTTGAAATGTGCTGTAATTGTATTTTGTATATATGGTGACTGTAAGGCTACGGTCATTCCCTACGTTGGATTCGTGTCGTGATTGTACAGATTTTAATCGTTGTTCGTATTTTATACTTTTATCTAATGTTGTTTGTAACAGTGCTTTGTGTTTTACCGAGACCAGTATTGCGTGCAAGAAATTTACTTAGTGTGCAGGAGATTGTAAATATAACACAAGGGTTGTAACTAGTTTAAATAAATTTTTATCGTTTGATACAAAGTTATACACAACATTCTCGTTCTTTAACTCGATCCCCGATTATTATTTTTGGCCTCTCTGTTCAATGATATCGTTCATAAAATTCACCTGATACTGCAGGGCAGATATTGTGAGCGTTTTCTTTTAAGCCCGAAACGATGTCGAAATGGTGGAATCAACGTCGAAACGAAACAGTTTCTATTATTCTCATTGTTGCTTCAGCTTTTGTATATACTTTTTTTTTGCAAGGAATACCAAGTAAAGATGCCGACGACGCGATAGGGACATAGGCATCGTGTCCTTAAAAACACGCAGTCCCTCCGCCTCAACACCGGAAAATAAATCACAGACATGAAAATGCGCTTTTTTCAAGCGGATATCGTTACAAACGCAAAAAGAATCGTTTCAGATGATGTGTGCCCCCCCCCC